AAAAATTATTTGGTGATCAGTGAAAACCTTATTTTTTTATTATTTAATTATTATTGCTATTTCGTTATCATTATCATCATTATTATTATTACATTATTATTATTACTATAACAATTATTTTTGTTTTGTGTGGATCAGAATGAATAGGGGATCAACGAATTGATTTTATTATTAGCGAATAATTTTGGTTAAAGAAGATAAAAGTTTTAAATAAAATATTTCTATTTTTTTTATTTAGTCGAAACTAATTAACTTGTAAGAAAGTTGCTTTTACATTAGGTCGAACTCAAGTTCTTTATATACATGTTCTTTACATATCAGCCCGAATTGCGCGAATCCGCTCACTTTGTACCTGGGCGAATCCGCCCGTTTTGAAGAATCGTCACTAATCTCTACTAAATAAAGTTAAATAAATATGAATGTGCCACGGATTGATTAATAATAATAATAATAATTAAATACGCGAAACGTAACGCGAATTCAGATGATAATAAATAATTATACACGTTATGATAAATAAATAGAATTAATAAAAAATATAAATAAATAAAATTTAAATTGTCCCGGAATTAAAAGATCCGACCAAAAGATCTGTGTCAAAATCTTCCGGTAACACTATTTCATTATTGTTATTATTATCTCATTCATTAATATATTATTCTCAATTAAAAAAAAAACCACAGCATAAGCATAAATTAATTAAATTAATTAATAATGTCAAAAGAAGAATTGAGATTGACAATTACAATAATTACAATGACAATGATAAATTAATTATTTTAGACAGAGAAAGCACCTTTTTAGAATCTGAAGAGAGTGTTTACATGAACCTGAAGGAAATATTAACAATTATAACAATTATGATGATTGTGGTAATGACAATTATGGTGGTTATAATTATGATAATGATGATATTGATGGACACATTTTGATAAACAAATGGATGAAAAAGGCATAAAATGGGTTAAATGTAAATATTGCTTGTAAGTAATTAAAATAAATTGCATTACTTATTTTTTTTTTAAAAAATTACTAATTTGTAATTATATTAAATAAAGACATGGGAAATATAATATGAATAGTGGCTCTACTTCAAATTTAAGTCATCATCTTAAGAATCATAAAAATAAAATTGATGTTAATGTAAATAAACCATCAATGATGTTGGGCAGTAATAGTGAACATATTGTGTGTACTGTATATATTTAAATCAATTAATATATCTACATTTGTAATTTTCTTAATCTGTGACCCGTTGACCCAACAGGTCGGGTCGTGTCAACTGTTTAAAAGTTCGAGTCGGGTCGGGTTGAACCACTGACCCGACCCGACTCGTTCGGAGCTCTAGATATTTATATAATGTACTTTAAAATAAAAAAAATTTTCAGTTGAAGAATGTTATATTTGTTTGTTATCTTACCATGATTTTATTAATGGATTTTTAATAGTTTATTTGTTTAGTTTGTACTGTCATTGATTAAATTTGGGAGAGCGTATTTTAATTAGTAATAACAATTATTTTTGTTTTGTGTGGATCAGAATGAATAAGGGATCAATGAATTGATTTTGGTATTAGTAAATAATTTTGATTAAAGAAGATAAAAGTTTTAATAAAATATTTCTATTTTATTTATTTAGTTTTATTTAGTCAAAACTAATTAACTTGTAAGAAAGTTGCTTTTACATTAGGTCGAAATCAAGTTCTTTATATACATGTTCTTTACATGTTAGCCCGAATTGCACAAATTCGCTCACTTTGTACCTGGGCAAATCTGCACATTTTGAGCAATTCCACCCGTTCTGTGAGAATAGTCATTAATCTCTACTAAATAAAGTTAAATAAATATGAATGTGCTTAAAGCTCCGAACGGTTCGGTTCGGTTCAATGCCCAAACCGAAACCGAACCGAAAATGCAGTTTCGGTTCGGTTTACATTTTAATTTAAACCAAAAATTTCAGGTATCCCAAATTCGTTAACTATGCAAAAATAAACATAACATAATAACTTATAATGACTTGTGGCTGAATGTGTGTTGCGAAGTAAAAATGCTGGAAGGATCCTGCTTCTATATACATGAAGTTATAAAGGATTTTAGATATTTAAAAATCCGTTATAATAATAATAAATTTATTAGTATTAGTCACGTTATAACGGATTTCAAAAATGTTAAAAGTCGTTATAACATGTATTTAATTAGGTTACACTTCGTTATAACGAGGTTCGACTGTGGTAATGAAGATCCATTTACAAATTATTTATTTATTAAAACAAATTCATTGCCGCAACCAACTTTTTAAGCACATACAAATTCTTATTGTTTTAGGCTCTAAACTACATCGCCTTTGATTAATTAAGTCTGTGCCCCCAGAGAAAACCCGTTCAATTGGGACACTAGTGGCTATATAAGTAATAGGTTTATTAGAAATTAATAAATCTAATCTTAAATAAGCAGAGTGCAAAAAATTAGAATACCGGGGATTGCCAAGTAGTCTCTAGCTATTCTTGATAAATTAGGATATTCCATTTCATGAGCCTAAAAAACAATTTTAAATGTTTTTTATATACTTGATATATAAGTAATTTATAATATTGTAAAGTCTTTACCTTCCAAAATGACAAAACATCTGTATCAAAATTTAATGGAGGACTGTTCAAATACATGTCAAGTTCATCTGTTTGAATGTTTTTACGTCTTTTGAGTATGTGAGATTCAAGTGTATTTGGTGTTTTGGTGGTTTGAATAGTAGTATTACACTCCTGGATTGGCATATATTCCATTTTCCATAAATCTGAAATTTTTTCTTTATACATTTCAATATAGTCATCAAATTCATTGTCTATGTAATACTGCATTTTCAGACGAGGGTCCATGACTATTAAATATTTATAGCAATTAACATTTTATATTTTATTAAAATAAACAAACAAATATAGATGTGTATATTTATATGCATACTGGTTGCAACTATGTAAACTAACCCATCCGAAGTTGGGTAAAATTTTTGCAATTTATCTTTAGCTTTCTCTGCTGCACTACAAATATCTTCTGGATGTTGTAACTCAAGAAAATCTTCAATTAAATCAATCAAGTAATTGTATATAGGAACCGATCGTCCTAAAGTAGGATAATGAGCATTACTAATTTCGGATGTCGCAATCTGAAAGCACTATAAAAAATAAAAATTAATAAATACACCTTTGAAAATTTAAAAATATAAATCAAACTATATACCTCCAATAAATTAGAAATTTTTTCAATTCTTTGCCAATCATTATCGGATAATATGTATGATTTAAGTTCTTTGTCAGCTGAGACCATATTATGAAGTGGCTAATAAAAAAAATGAAAAGAATTAATTTTTGAGAAAGTTCACAAATTAAATATTAAAACAATAATTTTACCTCACGTAGAAGTAATGCACGTTTCATCATCTCAAAACTAGAATTCCAACGAGTTTTGATGTCAGGGATCAATTGCAAATCATTAATATTTAATGCAATGCATTGGCGACTAAAACGTTCACGTCGTTGTGGAGAGCTTCTTATTTTAACAACTAGCTTTCTAAGCTATAATAAAAATGATTTTAATTAATAAAATAGTAAAAAGTTAATAAAAAAATTTTCATTTTACCTTCTTGATAACATTAATTTTGTCATCATCTTCTTCATCTAAAGCATCATCTTCTTTTTCTGGACCCATTCCTTTAAGTGATTTTAAGGCTTCTTGAGCTGCCAAGTTGATTATATGGGCCAAACAGCGTATTCTTTGGTTCCCTGCATCAAAATGAATTCCTTCACTACAAAAAGCCTGTTCCAAACAATTAAACATTGAATTCATATTGCTTGCATTGTCTGTGGCTATGCCTAAAATCTACATAAAAAAAAAAACAATTGAATAATTGAAAAATTTTCCAAATTACACATACATAGAATAATTATGATTTTAAAATTAAATATTAATCATGATTTTTCATTTAATTATTAAATAACTAACTTTTGTTAAAATACCAAATTCTTTCAAAACTTTAAAAAATACTTCAGACATGTTCTCACCAGAGTGAGAACCCTCTAAGTGACAAAAATCCAGAAGAATGCTTTTGAGCTCCCAATCTTTTGAAATCCAATGTGCTGTTATACCAAGGAAAGGAACTTGATTCTTTGACGTCCAAGAATCAAGTGTAAATGAAATTTGTCCAGGTACTTCTTGAAGTAGATTCTTTATAAAAATTAGATTTTCATTGAATGATTTAAAAATATTGTTACGTATAGTATCAGCAGAAAAAATTTTTGCTTCAGGTTTAAGTCTTTTGATCATAGTTTTAAAGAAATTACTTTCAATGACTGTAAAAGGTTGATCAGATGTAACAATCCATTTGATTAAATCATTATTCCAACTTTCTTGAGTAAATTTCTTACCAAAATCATTAATTATTTTTTAAAATATTAATATATATTGATTTTGAATTTGTATTCTATTAAATATAAATGATTAAAATTATACATACTAATTTATTTTCTGATTTTAAAAAAATATCAATTGGTCCAACTTCTTTACTAAATAAATTTGCATGAGACTTTTTTAAATGGTTTTTAAGAGTTGACGTCGAACCATCCCTTTGAGCTTTGTACAATTTACTAGAATATTCATTAAACAATTATTATTTCATTTTTTTCTATCCAAAAAAAAATATTATTGACTTATAGATTTTACCTGCAATGGTTACATTTATATTGATTTGTTTGTTTATTTAAAGTGAAGTTATTATGAACAATTGATCTATGCATATTTTTTTTTTCTATTTCGGTAATGGTAGATTCGTTAATGGTAAATTCGTTAATGGTAGATTTGGTAATGGTAGAATCCTCAGAAATAATAGAACCTTCAGCAATAATAGTTGCTGCTTCAAATTCTGAAAAGGCCTCATTATTTGCATCATAAAAGAATTCATTATCCATTGATATAAATTTTTTTATTATAAATATATAACAAAAAAAATTTTCACACGCGCGCGCACATTTTTTTTTGATAAACCAAATAAGGAATTTATATACAATATCTCTATAATGTATATCTTTCTATAATAATAATGCACTTCCCCGATTCTTTTTTTATATTTTTTATAATTAATTTTTCTCTCTGAAAATAAATACAGAAATACACATGATAACAAACCAATGTTTTTTTATTATCTACTTATTAAAAATCATCTCTATAAGCCGATTTTATTAAGTTTTTTAAAACTGAAGATTTTTTTTGTGACTTTGGTTTAACAAGATCTGCATGTATAACAAACATCTTCTATTAACGAAACTTTTCATAATATAAATATGAAGATCCAGCCAAACCGAAACGGGACCGACCGAAACCGAACTGAAATTTTTCGGTTTGAACTGAACCGTTCGGAGCTTTAATGGTGGTGGTGGCTATTGCCCGCCACTCGTCGTCACTCTAGTTATTACTGTTAAAAAAGAATGATGGTGGTTATTGTCATTCTAATTCTATGCAAACTTACGCAATATCTCTCATTTCTTGATGTCATTAGTCAAAGTCAAAATGGATCGAAATCACTATCACCATCCGATATAACTAATGTCATATCTACGTCCATCACAGAGTAATTTTTTGATAAATTGATAATGATAGTATCAAGTTTTTATTAATTTTGATTCATTTATTTTAGAGAATCAACATTGGAAAAGATAATTATAATGAAAAAAAAGATCTTATTAAAACTTGGAGAAATTGATAATGAGATTGGTGTATTTAACGAATTTGATGAATTTTTATTGAAAAAAAGCACAAAAAGACTCCGTATTTTTTCAAGAATACTTGATATTTGTAAGGAGCTGATAATATCAAACGTGGTGGCAACAAAACAGTAATATTTATGTTATTATTATTCACACAAGGGAGAAAAAAAAAAATAAAATATTTCCCTTTCCATATATTAATATTAATAGAAGCGTTTATTACCGTGATGTAAACCTGTTTGGGAATTCAGAACGTGTTGATCGGGTAAAAATAATCAATTATTTACTAAATAGTTATTTTCTTTGATAGAAAATATTGATTCATAATAAAATCTAATAATAAAGGCTATAGATGATTTATGTTGTATTTTTCGGGTTACGGGAAGATCCCTAAATTTGGTGAGAGAAAATAATAAAATGAATAATATTTATGACAAAAAAAATCTGTAACCACGGCAATTAGTTAATTAATATTTTAATTGAAAAAAGATTGCTTCTGCAAAAGGGTTGATTTCTGGAGATTTTAAGCTATTCAAAAACAATCAAATTATTTTAGAAGATTCTATAAATTCAACAAACCTTGGTGGGTTCTAATTCAACCAATCGAAATTAATAATAATATAGAATATAATATCCTTTTATATTGATCTATTTGTTATTGCATGAACAACATTGACTGAAAAATTAAAGGTTTTTTATGCTATTATTATCATTTAATTATCATTTATTTATTTATCTAATAAACAATTAGAAAGTGAAGCAAAAATTATCATTGTTGTAGAGAAAGAGGTAAATAACTAATTATTAAAATATAATCATATTAATACTAATTAACCAAACTTTTTTGTTATTTAGGCAACTTTTCAGACATTATTATCTAACAAAATATTTCAAAAGTTAGATTCGTGCATGTTAATTACTGTAAGTACTATCAACATTATTATATATGTGGGAAAAAATCTTATCTTGTTTTCTAGTAGTAAATTAACGAAAGGATTTTTTCCCAGATTGTATATATATTAATTAATTAATTTATCAATGAAAAAATCAACTAATTAAAGAATTTTTATTTTGAATATTTTATAGGGAAAGGGCTATCCTGTAAGTCACACACACACCCACATATAAATTTCTTTCCCTTCTAAAAAAAGGAAATAATGACTTATTTTTTCCCTTCAATTTTTTCATTGAAAAAGGATGTTGCGACTAGGCAACTAATTAAATTATTTTGTGATTTACAACCTAAAATCAAAATTTTGGGCTTCTTTGATAGTGATCCTCACGGTAGGTACATTTTTATGATTAATTATTGATTAATTATTTTTAAAAATTATTATTATTTAATAATTTATCTATTTATAAATCAGGGATAGAAATTTTAAGTATCTATAAATACGGGTCGCAGGCAAAAATATTATTTTTAAATAATCAACCATAGCATTAATTAAAAAAATTTTTTTCTTTATTTCAGGCCAAATATTACGATAATGAAAATTTGGCTGTCCAAAATTTTTGTTGGATCGGTTTGCAGTGCAGGGATAGAAAGGAGTAAAAAAAACTTTTTTTGTTATAAAAATTGAATTATATTGATATTTACTATTATTGATAGTATTATTAACACTAATAACTGGCTTTACAAATTTTTTTATTTAGTTATGATATCCCAGATAGTGCACTAATCAAAATGACGAGCAACGATCTAAAAAAGTGCAGAGAATTATTAAAAAATGATAATTTACCAGAGACCTGGGGGTGAAAAATTTTTCTTCATTATCTCTATCATTATAATTGGAATTTTGACTCATTATTAATTGAAATTTATAATAATAGGACTGAATTAAAAAGGCTTTTAAAATCCAAAAAGAAAGCCGAAATTGAATCGCTTTGTTATAATGATAATAACAATATGTTGAATTATCTAATATCAAAAGCTAATAATAGTAAATATTGGTTATAATTTAAAATGGTAAATTGAAGAAATTTTGATTCTTTTATCGATTTTTAATTAATTAATATATATATATATATTATTTATGATTTAGGTCGGTGAATATTATAAATTTCGGATTTTTTTATGGAACACAAAATTTAAAAAATTGAATGTAGCACGAAAATTGTTAATATCATGATCAATTTGCATTTGATTTTCACCTTCTCTATATCAATTTCGTCATCACCATCATCGTTTGTTTCATATTCTTCATTAAATATAGTTAAAGACATTTTCCTGATATTGCATGAATACTTGTCAATTTCTCCAAAATCATGAATAGTTTCTTCAATACTCTTTTTTTTTAAAAAAATATTAATTTGAAAATTTAATTAAAGAATAGTTGATTTATTTCAATAAAATTCGAAAAAAAATGAAAGAACTTATATATTTTTTTTGAAAGCGATAGTACATTTTATCTTTTATTTTTAAACTTCGGGCAAATCTTTGGTGATCTGCAAATTTGTTACACGAAATAACGACCATTTTTTTGACTTTTAAAGAAGGTTTTACAAAAACAATATTAATAGCAGCCGAATTTTTATTTATAGATCGTATTATTTTTGACCTAAAGATCATTTTCATATTAGGAAGTGATACACTCAGAACTAAATTTGGAATGGTTTATATGTAAAGGGTCGATATATCGACCCTTTGACCGTTTAAGGGATAATACTATATTTTAATTTGCTATGTATTTTAATTTATTATTTAAATTTGCTAAATATTCAACTACAACTAAAAAAGAAGTTTGTTTACTAAATATTTATTTTCTTTCCCAAATCATGGACTAATTCAATAATAGTTTCTATAGCGATTAATGTAAACATTTCTATGCGGACAACCATATTTAAATAATCAATTCTTTGCTTGATATTTGAAATCGTACACTGTATTAATGCTAAATAATATGACACTTCATATGAATTTATTTGATTTTTTAAACGAAGTAGCATTAATACCTATTTAATTTTTATATAGAGGTAATTCTATATATCACAAATGGGATATTATAAAATTGTTAATTATAATCACATTATGACTAAATTTTGATCCCTGAAATTCTTGGTAATACCAATGTTCACTTTGTCTGGTTTTGTTGCAGCATTCCCCATATGTTTTTTTTTTTGAATTTAAAATAATAAAATTATTACTAAAACTAACTACACTTTTTTGTAATGTTGTAGCTTTATTATTTTTTCGTGAAACTCATATATTGATATATTTTACACGGAATCCACAGCTACCCAAGTACAAGGGTAAAACTATTTATTTTAATATTAATATAAGAAAAAATTTTTACCTATTACTATCATGCTTTCATGTGACTTTGCGTAATGAAAAATTTTTATAATATTAATCGGCGATGCAATTGCGTTACATTCTTCTCGTTACACTACAACTCCTTTCTATATGCTTGATAATATTTTTATATCATTGAAATATATCTAAAAAAAAAAATGACAGACCAAGTTTACCCAATTGTCACTCCAGAAGGTCTTAATGAATATGATGATAAAGACATTCTGAATGCTTATGATACAAATCAATTCACACAAGATCAGCAAGAATTCTTTGAACAACAAGAACAAAACTTTAAAAAACAACAACAATTATCCTCACAATATCAGCAGCAATTTTTAGAACAACAGCTACAATTTTTAGAGCAACAGCAACAACTCTTGGAACAAGAAAAACAACAACCCATACAAAAAAAAAAACAATTGAATAAACTCACACAACAATTACAACAATTGAAACAGCTCTTACAACAACAACAACAACATTTACAACAACAACAGCAACAAATGCTACTACAACAGCAGCAACAAGAACAATTTTTAGAACAACAACAACAACCCTTACAAAAGCAACTTTTAGAAATTTTAGAACAACAGCAACAACTTTTACAACAACAATTGCAACAACCTCCACAAAAGCAGCAAAAGATTTTACAACAGCAGCAAAAACTATTAGAACAACAGCAACAATTAACACAACAACAGCAACAAATTTCACAACAGCAACAACAGCAACAACCCTTACAACAACAGCAAGAATTCTTGCAACAATTAAAATTCTTACAACAACAGGAAGAGCACTTACAACAACAGCAAGAACTCTTACTACTACTGCAACAATTTACACAACAGCAACAGCAGCAACTTCTTTTAGAATATAAACAAAAACCCACACAACACCAGCAACATCTCTCAGAACTCTTAAAACAACGCCAACAACTCCTACAAAAACAGCAACAATTCACACAAAAACAGCAACAACTCTTGCAAAATCAGCAAAAATTTATACAACTACAATTATTACAACAATTTGTGCAAGGACAAGTCACAATACCAACAAACCGTTTTGATTTTGGAGAGCTTTCTATAATTAATAAAGATAATTATACTAATATTTTAAGAGATCGGGAGAAATTGGAAAATATAAACAATGAATTGGTAAATAAAACCTATGAATTGGTAAGTAAAAAGAGTGAATTGGAGAATAAAAACAGGGAATTGGAAAGTAAATGTGATAATATCAATGAATTGAAATACAAAAGTGATGAATTGATTAAAGAATTGGAAATTAAAAACGTTGGATTAATAGACAACTTCAAAGAATTGGAAATTAGAAATGTTGAGTTGGGAATTAAAAACAATGAATTGGAAAGTAACTTCAATAAATTGAAAAGTAACTTTGATAAATTGAAAAGTGAAAACAATGAATTGGAAAATAACTTCAATAAATTGAAAAGTGAAAACAATGAATTGGAAAATAACTTCAATAAAGTGAAAAATGAAAACAATGAATTGAAAAGTAACTTCAATAGATTGAAAAGTGAAAACAATGAATTGGAAAGTAGCTTCAATAAATTTAAAAGTGAAAAAAATAAATTGGAAAGTAAAAATAATCAAACAATCAATGAATTAAGAAATAAAAACAAAAAAAATGATCAAACAATCAGTAGATTTAGTAATGACATCAATATATTGGAAAATGAATGCTATTATTTGGATAGTCAAAATAAAAAAAATGATAAAACAATCAGTAGACTTAATAGTGAAAATGATAAATTGAAAAATGAAGTCAACAAATTGAAAAGTGAAGTCAAGAAATTGGAAAATGAAGTTAATAAGTTGAAAAGTGAAAACAATGAATTGGAAAGTAAAGAATAACAATTTGGAATTAAAACAGTATCTGATAATGAAATAATAATATAAAGGTTTTTATTTATTTTTTTCTTGTTGAATTGCTTCACTTTACTTTCTAAATGGTCATCAATTAAACTTTTGTTAATATTAATTATAATTACATGACTACTACAAAAATGCTTTTTTATTTGTTTGTATAGTGCAGTTTTTCGAGATAAAATTCTTATAAATTCAGTATTCCATTTTTATTGAACAATAATCACAAATATGTCATTAACACGTTTAGAATGACCAACATCCAACGCAAATGCAGTTGGATGTTGAATGAAATAAAAGTATTCATTTCACAAATTAATCAAGTAATTTACCACCAAAAAATGCTTCGCGTGGTAAAAAACACAAGAATTATATTATTTTGTAGCTTGGGATTTCATGATATATGCATGCAAAATTCTACTTTCCTAGAATAAAAATTTGTCCAAAAAAATTTTTTTCAAAGATATTTTCGACAAGAAAAATTTAATTGAACAAAATTATATCTAGGATTTTGACATGACTCTTAATAAATATTTAAACGTGTTTATATGGGAACGATAAAATATAATAAAATTTAAAAATTTTCAGGTGTTTTTTATATGTATTTTTACATGACCAAGAGAAAAATTTCCCTTTTATCTTTCATTCATCTTTCATTCATGAGTTTCAACTGTTACCAAATCAAATGCAGGGGAGATATTCGTCTCTGCAAAAAAAAAAAGGTCAAATGATGATTCGTAAAATGTCTTTTAGCACATATAGTATAATAAATAATAATCAATTTAATCGTAAATTAAAATAATAGGATAAATGCTTTCCTTAATAAACCAAATACCAAAAACCAAACCATAGTTTTCTGTTCAATTGGAAAAAGATTTTATTATTGCAAGATAAACTGTAAAATGACAGAGTTATTAAATAGTCAAAAATGTTATACGTTTTAATGTTCTAAAATAATATTATTTTATTATCAACAGCATCATTCAGCTTATATGGATGTTTTTTTTAAAAAAGCTCACAATACAAATCCATTAACCTGTAAAAAAAACAAAGATTACTGTGAATAACCAAAAATTCATGAAACGACTGGATTATTCCTTAATTCAATTTTATAAATATCCTTAATATTAATTTCATACAATTTGAAAAAAGAAAATTTCTCAGGAGAAAAAAGTGAAAACTGCACGAATCAATCGAAGAATAAAAACGAAATTCAGTATCTTTCTTCCGTCATTGATTATCTCTTTGCCGTTGCACTTGATGCCTTTAGCCAGGTTGACCATAGTTAGAAGAAACGTAAGTATTTCATTATAATTATTAACTGGGTCTATATCCAATTTACTTATTATTATTAATTGTAATTAATAATTGTACAATCAAACTATGCCACAACGGACTGTAATTAAATCCTTGTCATAACGGATTTTTCAAATTTTTGCTTCACATAACATATTGATATTAATATAAAAACATATAAAAATTTCCTTATATATTCCGTTCATCCGTTATGACAAGGTTTGACTGTTATTAATAACTTGACTTTTGTCCATTATGGCACGCTCTATATTTCATTTATTACAATGGCCGATATCATTGTTTTTGAAAACATATTAACTGTTGTTTTAGCCAATCGAAATCAGATGTTTGTGATCGTCAATAATAAATTTTTAGTAACGTGCGGACGATTGATTCTTATACTATTGGCTTTGTTTTTAAGCATTTCAACCAATATTAACATATTAATACCATGCATCAACTTTGGTAATAGGCAAATTGCTGATTACTCAAATTACATTTTTTGAGAACCTAAGGTTTTAATAATTTTATTGATTTGAGTTTCATCATATCCTGATTTTATATAGCAATTCAATACGTAGGTTATCTACCATGGTAATTATTCTCAATTCTTTTTTATTGTGGTGTAATCTATCACTAGACAAAGGGTTCTGAATCTAAATTATTTTTTTAGTGAAGTCACTATACTGATATATATAAAAAAATATTTTTGATCATTGGTTATGAATTTAATTAATCAATTTCAATTTCGCCAATAATTTTTAATTGGAGAGCTTTCTATAATTAATAAAGATGATTATACTAATATTTTAAGGGATTGGGAGAAATTGCAAAGTGCAATCAAAACTGGCAAATAAAACAATAGGAAAACAAATCCAATAAATTGACAAGAAAAAATAATTAATTGAAAAGTGAAAACAATGAATTGAAAAATGAAAACAATAGATTATTTAGACAACTTCAAAAATTTTGAATAAAATCCATAAATTGGAAAGTAGAAACGTTGAGTTAGAAATTAATTGAAAGGTAAGAACAAGTTGAAGATTCTTGTTGCTTTGATGGATCTGGATGTTTACATGGCACTACAAGTCATCAACAGAGTTGCGACTTGGTCACAGTGCAATCCTTACCCTAGAGTTAGGATCGTTTAAGGTAACTTTTCAGCCAGCATGCCAGCAGCCTTCTCTGGTTTGGGAAGATTAGTGAAAATGTCATTGACAATTGATGCAGCCTCAATAAATCTCAGAACCACCTCCCCCCCCTGAAAATTTAACAACATCATTGTATCATCGGAGCACACTAGTCTGATTAACCTTTTGTCACAAGGAATGTGTGAGAATGACTGTAAAGTGTTCAAGATAACGTGCATGCTTCAATGTCTGCCAATTTCCGATAATCAAACATCTCATATTTAAATTGTTTCTTTTTCAACGGTGCGCTGCCTTGACATCTTATAATTATATATTTATATTAATATTAATATTAGCAAAATACCAATCGTTCGATTGTTTTCCCAATTGTGTCAACAATTAAAAATATGTGCAACACCAAGTGCCAATCATAAATAATTAATGACGCGTTTGTTGATCAAATAAAATTTATTTTTTTTTTAAAAAATAAAAAAAAAAATTGCCACAAGACAAAAAATCAGAGGAAAGAAGAAGTAAAAATAATACATCTGGAGCAGTTGTTGGATAAGTGTTTATAATAAAGATGGTGGTGGCTATCGCCACTCGTCGTCACTCTAGTTCACAGAATTAAAATAGGCATTTTTTTTCTTAGTCAAAATGAATTAACATCACCATCAGCAAATGATACTGGTATGCAATTTAGAACATTTTAGTATAATTTATATATAATGTTATATTCATAACATTGGTCTTCCTGTACTATTATTAAAATTTCTGAGTAAAATTAGAAACCGAACGAAATGATTAGATTTTGATGACATTTTAGGCGATGAACCAAAATTTGGATCGCATTTCAATCTTGTATGTATGTATTTTAATTAATTACTTAAAAGTGAAGAAATTTTATTAATAATTATTTTTTTTTAATATTAATATAGAAATTGAAAGATATTCATGAAGATTTAATATTTAATAGAAATTTATAGAAATGCAAATTATTGGCAATTTTTATAACCAGATGTGTATATAATTATTGAAAAATGGATTCGCCATCAACAGATAGTAGTAATCGGAAGAAACGTGGTAAAGAGAAGGGTGCTAGAAAAAGGGTCGGACGTAAAATAGATGGTATAATTTACAACATTGGAAAAAATCTTGAATTAGGTGTTTTTGAATCAGCAAATATTTTCAAGGACGAACATGATAATAAATATCTTAAAGAAACTCTTTAATTGCCAAAATCAATGAGAAATATTTATTGTGGTTTGGTTAGATACATAAAATATGAAGAAGAAAAATGTAATTCGTTGCAAGTGATAGGAATACTACACCTTGGCCTAATGGTGCAGTTTTCAAAGTTATGGAGAGAAAATGGTTTAATCGCAATATATAAAAAGCAATACTGTGCATTATTTGTCACCAATGATTACTTGAAGCTATTAGCTAAAATTTATTCTTATAAGGTAAAAAATATGTTCTTGAATTTGCAATCTTATTTTTTTTTTTTTATAACTTTATTAATTATTTAAGCTTCTTAAACAGCAAATAACAGAGAATAATCTTCGGATTGTGATCCAGTTGAGGAAAGTGATCTATTAGAAGAATCGTGAAAAAACACCGCCACCTGCAATAGAATACTTTACAGACTGCTGGATGATTCAGTTAAACCGAATCATCTAATCCGGTCCAGCCTAGGGATGGGCAAAATGCGAAATCCTTAGTTTATTGTGCGAATAATGCGCATTATGTGCATAGTAGATTTTTTAAAAAAACATCCACCATAAAATTATCTTTATGGTAAATGTGTTGCGCATTTTAAAATTTGTTCAAGAGTAAGTATAACAACTCTCCAAGGGTAGTAGTGAAAATGAAAAAGGAAATCAAGAACCTGATGATTTTTATGATTCTGATGTAACTTATTAAGTTAGTAAAATAATAAATTTTTATAATAAAATTTTGTATTCTAATCACAACAATAAACACAATAAACATATGTTTTATTACATCTAAGCTAAAAACATGAAGATAATTTTATGGTGGATGATTTTTTAATAAATCATTAATAATTTACTATGCACAATAAACTAAGGATTTCGCATTTTGCCATCCCTAATCATCAGTAATTATTCTTTTCAATATTGTCACCAATTGACTTGAAATAGTTCCTGGACCTTCCTTTTAACATACAATTTCTTTAAACTTATGGCTCAGGTAATTTTTATTAACCCCAAATCATATACTTTTCTTGTATTGATTTTCCTAAAAATGTACTTTAATAATATTGTGAGTTCTTCTTGTGTCCAATTCTTTGAGCCTGAGTGCATTCCACTAAAGACTAGTGCTGTAATCCAAAAAAGGAAAAAGTATGGTTGCAAAAGTGGTTGCAAAGGTAATTTGCAACCACTTTTTATATGCAGTAAATACAATTACTACCATCACCATAATTTACAGCACTAGTCTTTACATTTCACCATCAGACTCCAAGACACTCAACCCATCAGAATCAACTTCTCTTTCATTATCTGAATGCATCGTTTCTTGCATTTGGTGCAAGAACTTGCCTTGGGCTAACCGCTGCTTCCTCTTCACTTTCTTCCTCTTCACCTTCTTCTCTTCCTTCATTTATTTCCATTGCTTCCTCCTAGGGATGGGGATGGTTTATGGGGTCTGGGACACTTTACTGACACCCACTTTACTGACAACACGCGGGGTTACATTTAATCTCTACACAATCAAACAAACTAACAAAATGCTAAAATATCACATCGTGTGTTGTTGGTAAAGTGGGTGTCGGTAAAGTGTCCGGGTCTAGGTTTATGTCATCAGATTGATTTTTTAAAAAAAAATTATTTTATTATGAAATAGTTAATTTATAATTCATTAATGTATATACTACATATTTATAAAGATACCCTGAATTTGTTTTTAAGTTTGATAATGATACATCACCAATTGCAAAGTTTCCAGATAATGTGGTAGAAGCATCTTGTTGGTGATCTTTGTCCTCGCCTTCTACTTCTACTTCCCCCCTTGAATTTTTTTTAAAAAAACCAATTAAATTAATTAGGTTATGATGTAACAAGCCTTCATCAATAAAACAGTCAATGACGATGAACATACTTCATAGATATTTCTTAGTAATTTGAAACAGAGTTGGCAAATGTGCAGTCCATTGATGGTCTATTGGTGGTCCATTGGGTCCATTAGTGTAACACTTTAACCATATTTAGTATTTTATTAATGGCAATGGACCAGTCCAAAATCCATCAGTTCTCAATGGACCAGTCAATTTGCCAACCCTGATTTGATAACTTCTACTGGTGTCATTTCTTTTTGTATAACTACTTTTATGATATTAAATAGGGCATCTAAATCAACATATTTAGAATAATATCACCCACTGCCAATGATTCTTACTCTATCATCATACCACTTATCAACTGAAGCAGATGCCTTATTGTTCCATTCACTTGCCCAATCACCAGGTATTAATAAAATTCAATATTAGCCAAATTCGAAAAAAATTACAATTAGATGTCTGCTTGATTTGAAAAATAATTTTCTTCAAATTCACCCTTATTTTTTCCACTGGTATCATCATCACTCCAATGATCAATATAATATTTTTAGGGGATAATCAGTAAACCAGAATAACAAGTGACACAAACATTCTTTTAAATAATACAGTCAGGATTATTACCAAATTTGGAAATCGAATCTAGAAAAATTGGAACTCCTTTGTCGATCAATTCATATG